TAGCTGTTTATATTACGTTTGAAGACAATCAAATTTCTTAAAAACTTTTCTTTTTCAAAAATAACAAATTTTAATATTTACTATTTTCTTTCTCGTAGAGTAGAGTCCAGTAATCATAAATTGTTTGTTTGATTGTGTGTTCGCAGGGTCAAAAAAGCATCAAAAACTGATTTTTCACGGTTTTCATTTGTTTTTCCCGAAATTAAATTTTCGAATTGTTAATGTTCTTAACAAGAATTAAATATCGACAATAATAATTGTTTGAAAAGCTCTAAAATATGTCTATCCTATGTAGAAATTCATTTTATTTCTTTTTCCTTAGTCTTCGGTATATTTATATATTACCAAAACATTTAAACTTTCTATGTTAAAATTGATTTTTGTTTTTTTTTGCATTGTATATATATTTTTTCTTGTTCAAATGATTTGAAAAACGCTTAATGAATAGAATCAGACTGATTTATATGAGAAAAACATTGAAGCTAGACGTGTGTTTTATAGAAGAGATATTGTGACTTTCTACGAATTAATAATGTTGAAAATCTATTATTTTTTTCTTTGAATTTAAACTTAATATCTCTCATTTGATTATCTTTGTTAAACTTATTTGATAATTGTATCGATATTCACCTTGCTCTTATTATTTTGTCCTCATTTTATTTCGATTTTTCGTATGGATGAGTATCCGTGTATGTTTGCAATGAAATCGATGCGATTCATGATAAGGAGAAATATGATAAAGTGTAATATCATCAGCACAAACACTTCTATTAGAAATCGTCAACAATAAGTTGTAGCACAGTATTAATCTAAAATATAAACATAAAGTAAACAAAATACTTTTTTTAATCTATCATACTACTGCTTGAAAACAATTCTATCTTAATTGAAATTTATAATTGAAGTCAATTTCTTTCCCTTTATTTTATTTTATTTGTAAAAGAACTCAAATCACAAAACTACAATTACATTAAAAAAAAATATTTTTCTACGATGATAGAAAAATCAGTTGTAGATTATATTTATAATTAAAATAAATGTTTTTTTCTTATTATACTTCGATTATAGTTGAATATCGATAGAAATATTATCTTCAACTAATTATGGTATAATATGAAATACTTAAATATTTATTCATATTTCTATACTTCAATGATACGAGTAAGAAGAGGTCAAATTAAGTGAGTTCCAAATTTAAAGTTTATGAGTTTCAAGTTTTTCGACAAGTTGTGGCGTTTAACTGTGTTGTTTGTTCTTGAGCATCACCGATCGACTCAGCACAATCCAGAGTATCTATTAGAACAATCAAAAACAGATGATTACAGTTTTTAGGTAGAGTTTTTCGCGAAAACGTACACATACGTAAACTCCAAATTTGGAGCATACTTAACTTGACCAAAAGAAGATATGACTGATGTATTCAGAAGATATTCTACAAGATATTACTTGTTATATTCTTTCCTTTCTTGTTATAAAGACAAGAACATAAACATTGTCCTTGCTTTATCGGTCTGTATCACTCGGGCATATCTTTTCTTATTTATCGTTGCCCTTTTGGTCATGAAGTTTATCCTTTGAGTATAATTGCAAAGATATAAAGTATGTGACAAGATAAAATAATGATCGATGAACGATATTCTTCTGTTTTGTATCTTGCTTTCTTTATTCACCTATTTTATTGGATTTTATTTCTTTTTTTTTCTTGTATACTATCGCTTCTTTATCTCTTTAATTTCTACCCATTGTCAATGGACAATAATGAAATCAAATATTCTTCAATGTGCAATAAATAGGTATGTTGATGTAGGCGATACTTTAAAATATATTTATATGTGAAAGAGTTCATATTGAATGTGCTAAATTTGAAAGTAAAAAATTAATTCTTACGATCATATAGTAATTCAAACATATTTTTTTGTTATATTACATATAAAACTGATAAGATATATACGTTTGTTATTTAATACTAATGATAAATCGTTTGAATATCGAAATCTATAACGATCTTGTATATAAGATCGTTTGTAATAGGATTATATAGGCATTTGGTTCTATGTTCACTATATGATATAATCTAAACAGATTTCAACTCAAAAAATTTATAAGATCTAGCAAAAAAATCATAACTTAAGTATCTTAATTGAAAAACTACATTATATACTCTTTAATCAAATTAAGTATTACTTTTACATTGATTATTTTTATGTTAACTAATGATATCAATTGATTTTTAACGGAATAGAATAGACATTTCATACCTAAAACAAACATTTTTAAATAAATAATTCTATATTTTATCGTCAAAAAAAAACATCGTATGAACTGGATAATATTAGAATGATATAGATATTTAGATTAATGTAAATAATACAATTTAATTTATCTTAAATACTTTTCTATTGATATTCTTGATCCATATTCATCCTATACTCTTTTTTCTCAAATACATCTTTTTGTACATCTACATGTACTTTACTTTTCATATAATTAAGCACAGATATGTCGTTCTCCTACTTTCTAATCACATGTTAATATTACTTATACAAGCTGTGGTTAGCTTAAGCAGGTCGTATATAAAAAAAATATTTATTCTTCGCATTGTCTTATACACTTTTTCGTTCATCCAAATAATACACTACGATATTATCTGTTTCAGGCACCTATCATTATCTCTTCAATTATTTAATCATTTATAGGTCAAGTTAAGTGTACTCTAAACATGTAGTTTACGGATATCTAAGTTTTCGCGAAAAACTCTACCTAAAAACTGTAATCATCTGTTTTTGGTTGTTCTAATAGATACTCTGGACTGTACTGAGTCGACTGGTGATGCTCAAGAAAAGCAAGCACGTAGTTACAAGCTACAATTTGTCGAAAACTTGAAACCTGTAAACTCCAAATTTGGAACTCACCTAACTTGACCTCATTCATATTAGTCTGCTAAAGTATCTCAAGCAGATACTCATCTTAACAAAACCTTATGCAATCAACAACTATCTACGAAAACTTTATCTTGAGTAAAATCTTAACTTCACCTATTTTCTCCTGATAGTAAAATAAACATATTGTTACATCAAACAAATATTCATCAATATTTTGGTTCTCTATGCTCCACATTGCTAAATGCAAGGATTATAACAACAACTCAAGATACTCTTTTACTTCTTATTTATGTAATTGCCTCGCTCATCTGAAGTTTGTTCAAATTCATCCCATTGGGAACAGTTTAATGTCCGTTGTTATGACTCAAAAACAAGATGCTATACAATGTATCAAGTTAACGTTTTGTTTCTGTTGATCTAAGATAAAAAATACTCTTAAAACTGCAGCAATGATATATGCAGTACAAACAATGAATGTTGTGTAACACATCGTTTTATTCTTTATTTTCATGTCTTTTACGTATTTACTATCTACTTCTTCATACAAAATCACAATATCCTAAAAACTAAAGTGATGGTAATTATAGTGAAAATGAACAGTATTATTTTGATTGATATATATCGCACGTATTTAGTGTATTTTTTTTTGATTCCGGATCACTATCTCCAAAATGATACAGCAATATCTATTATGGTGAAGATCAATTCTTTTATGAATAAATACACATATTCTTTCAATTGCATATACTGAATGTATTTCGTATATAGTTCTTGATTCATGATCAGTATATTATAAAGCATATGGCAATAATATTTAATCTTTTCTCTCCTATTCTTATTGAATGTATTACTATTTGTTCAAGGAGCAATTAATAAAAAGAATTCAACAATGAATATTATGAAATGGATCTGGACATTTTTATTCTTATTATTCTTGATTTTATTAATTGAATATATTATTATTCATGGAAGGTCAACTTACTCTAACGAAACCAGTAATGAGTATTATGATAAAAATGAAAATTACTGAAAACTGAATCTGGGTATTTCTCTTTATTTTTTGATCGAATATATTTATTACGTATTGAAAGTTGAGTTGATATGAAGAATTCAACAATGACTATTATGGTGAAAAGAAATGGTATTATAAATTAAATTTGCATATTTTTTGATTTTCCTGATTTTACTCATAGAGAGTATTAGAAATCATTAAGAATCAAGTAATCTGGAAGAATTCAACAATGACTATGAATTGAATCGGAATACATATTTATTCTTTGAATGTCAAATTAATCTGAAGCATTTAGCAAAAGCGGTGATATTAAAAATGAATAGTATGATCGTGTAAAAGTGAGTGTTCTTTTTAAATATTTTCATTTTGTTTATTGAGTAATTTAGTATTCGTTTGAATGCAAGTGATATTTTGAAAGAGTTTAGTTATAAATATCATGATGAAAATAAACAGCATCTATGGAATGAATTAAAGTATAATTTCTGTTTTTGTTTATTATAGATGAGCATATCCTACAGAGAATGGCAACAGTTATTGTGGTGAAAATAAAATTTATTAGAAAATAAACGAAAATATTGTTTTAATTGAATATGTGCAATGCATTGTGTGAATCGTTTTTTATTTTGAAATGATATTTACTGTAGAGTAGTGCGATTGTTATAATGGTAGGAATAAAAATTAGAATATAGTTTTACGTGTGTTTGTTAAATATGTTTAATGGATATTTAATCGCTCAAGGTCGTCAGTATATACTAAAGGGCACAGCAACGAGTATGGTGATGAAAAAATTTAATGTTATCAAATGAATATGATTATTTTTTAATTTTTTTTTCTCCATTATGATTACTAAATGTATCATTGTTCATTTATGATCAATTTACTCTGAAGAAACCAGCGATAATCATTATGAGAATAAACAATGTTTTGAAATCAATGAAAATATTGTGTTATTTGTTTTAAATTTATTTGATTTATTTAGTACACTTTTTTTGTTTCAGATCATCACATGTTAAAAGGCACACAAATGATTATTATCATATAAATACTCAATGGTATTAAGTCAATCAGATATTTCAAAGAATCAAGTAATTATCATTATGGTAAGAACAGTTTCTTAAGAAAAAAAAGCAGGATATTATTTTAATTCTTTTCTGATCCCTTATGCCTCATATTGTTTAATTGAGACGATTTTAGATAATATACAATAGCATATTGAGAACAGTATATTTTCAAGTGATCAACTAATTTTGAATTATAATGATTAGAAAATGTATTCTATTAAAGAGATAATAGAATTTAAAAGACTTCATAATCATAGTCTCATTATTTCTTCTTGAATAAGTTTAAAAAATTGTAGACATACTTTTTATACTAACTCAAAAAGACATATAGACACATTAACCGTTTAACGAACGGTTTTTTGATGAATCAGCATGGGAGGTAGTAAGGAGAACAGAAAGAGAAAAGGTGAGACGTATATATATATATATATATACTACCTCCGCGAAAGGATTAATATGAATTAAAAATTAGATATGAATTGAATATTAGATTTATTTGTTACTTGGTTGAGTAAAACTTAATTTAAGAAAAAACAAAGCTTTTCTATAAACATTCAGAAGAATTTTTCTCTATTTATTTCATTTTTCTAAATTGCTCTTATTTTCAAATATTACTTTTCTAATTATGTAGGTGTATTTATTATATATTATGCTTATTCTTACCATTCAGCTATTGTTTTTTTTTCTAATTACAATTTATTACTGTTATTGGAAAATATTTGATTTTTTTTGTCAGGATCAATCAATTCATTCCTATTTTCATGTATTAAATTTTAAATTCTTATCTTATATAAATTTTTTAGATTTTAATTAGTTAATTTCTTCACATTATTAATCTATTGATATTTATCTGTCGTTTAACATAAGAGATATATTCACGCAAACGAATAGCAGCAGTGCAGCAATAAAAGGTTCGACTATAATAACGAAGTATTAGTTCAACTTCCACATGAATCTGATAAAAGTTATAGAACAAGTGATTTAGTTCGATTAGTACCTTCAACTGATAAAATTTAATTATTAGGTCAGAATGATTTTCAAGTTAAAGTAAATAGACAACAAGTAGAATTAGAAGAAATTCAAGCAGTTATTTATCAATCTAATTCATCTATTTCTAATTGTGCTGTTATTAAAGTAGTTGAACGTGGGACGAGACCATCTGATTGCATATATACAATTAAATAAAACATCTACATCAGTTCCATTTGATGAAAATTTAATTCATACTAATTGTCAGGATCATTTACCATTTAAGTCTAATGGAAAATTAGATAAAGCAGCACTTCCCGAACCTAATCTATCCTCATTACTTTTATCAATAAATAACGATGAAACTTCTAATGATCAAGAAAATGAAATATTAATGACAAATGAACACCAACTTGTACATGTTCTTTGGTGTGATATGTTACAATTTGTTGTAAATTCAAAAATACCTATTAATCGTTCATTTTTCTTATTGGATGGTAATTCATTAGCTATAATGCGTCTCTTTGCACTATATCAAATAAAATTTTCTCTTGATACTAAATCTTCATCATCGTTTAATATTGCTTCTTTATTTCGTCAACCGGTACCCCTACATTTCGGCCTTTTTTTTGTCCTTTACTATTCGCCCTTTTTTAACTTGTCCTAAATGTTTTTTGTCCGATTCCATTTTGTCTCTTTACAATTCGTCTTAATTATCTCTTGTCCCATTACATTTCGTCTGCTTACACATCGTTCCAAAAGTTGAGTATTCATTTTTTATCACGATAATATGAATTAAAACTTAGGGTGGGTGTGGGGTGGATGTGAATAAAGAAGATACATATCCCCCTCCTCTACACTCACACTCACACCACACTCATCCACACCCACACTCTTCCATCATTAATTCAAAGAAATGAATTAAAAAAAGAGGAATTGCCTGCAACTGATCAAAAACAAATTGATGAAAATTTTAAAAAAATAATTCAACCATTCATTAAAATAATCTTACCGTTCGTAGAAAACAAAAAAATATTAAAAAATTTGTTTATTTCTTCTTCTTTTTTTTGTTTTTAGTCAATTATCAATTGATGGTCGTTCAGAATTTTTAATTGTTTAACTATTATTAAAAACAACAGTTGGAAATAGTAATGGAAAGAGTGAAATACTTCAATTAGAATTTTTAGCAACTGGTTTACCAAGAATTAATATTCAATCTTTATTATACCCATCAACATTAATAAAAAAACTAAACTGGATTCAATCAGATCTTATTTGGTTTGATATTGTTTCATTATCAAATTTATTTAATCAAGATGATCAACTACATCATTTATCAGAATCAATTTTAAAAAATGATCAACAATAGAATAACTATTATGATAATCCTCAATTAAATCCATTCTCCAATTTAAATAATCAACAATTTTCTCAAATTGAAAAACTACTTATCAATCGTCTTTTATGTCCAGAACATTTTGTTAATGAATTATCTTAGTATATTATTGAACAATTTGATTTAAATACAATTCAGATAAATGATTATGATTTCCAAGCTGTTAATATTATTACATTATCAAATACTCCTGTTAAATCAAGAATATCAGGAGAATTTTTAATGAACAAATTTGATTTTCATTTTACAAATATAGTTTATGATTTAACCGATATAATTATATAGTATATTTAAGAAATGTTCATCTATCATCATTTTATACTACTATTAAATAAATTCGTTGTAAGTTATTTAAATTAAAATGAATTCTTATTTATTTACTTATTTATTTATTTAAGTTAAAGGTCAACATGACGTTGTCATAATAAAAGATGCATTTGTAGATATAACTTATCTTGGTACCCGTCTTCATCATTATGATTGTTTACTTGAAGGAAAAGTTTGTTTATCAAATTTATTTTATAAAAATTCAAATAATTATATTCAAAAAATAATTGGTCAATTAATATCTAACAGTTCATCTGTACTTAATCAATGCCAAAGTGATGAACTTACAGTTGTTTATGGTTCAGTATTAATTCAACAAATATTTAAACAAAATTCTATTACACTTCAGTGGACAAGAAATTTTCTACAATCTATTTTAAATATAATTAAAACTAATAAAGATCAAAATCTAATAAAAAACATTAATTGAAATGACATTTCCAACACATTCATCAATAGTAACAAAATTATTAGATGAATTATTTCAACGAATATCTTGATGGTGAGGGTGTGAAGGTGTGAGTTTGTTTTCTCTGCTTTTACTCATACATACACCCACCCCTGGTTTTGAATAGTCTGTCTGAAACAAAGAAAAAGTATGATGAATGTTTGACACATTATAAAGTAATTTTTTCTATCGAATAATGTTTTTCTTTATAAGTGAATTTATGAGTAATTTCGATTTTATAGTAGAATAATATCATAGAAGAAAAAAAAATTTGGATTAAACTAGAGAAATGCAAACCGGCTCGACCCCGGAGCATGGGTTCACGTAAAGAATGTCTTTGAAATTAACTGTGTTAGAGATGCTGGTGCTGCATGGTGTGTTCATTCTCATGTATCTCACTCTTATATTGGAATAGATTATTCTCAAGATATCATTAACTTATATCAAAGACTTTATTCGACAACTCCTCGACTTTCATTCGTAGTAGCTGATGCAACAAAACATTTACCATTTGAAAATGAGTCAATTGATATTATTCTTTGTATTGAAACAACACATGCTTTTGACGAACCAATAGCAATTACACAATTTGTCAATGAAGTCGTTTGTATACTTCGTCCAAATGGATATCTTCTTTGGTGTGATTTTTGTTACATGAATGGATCAGGTACATCAGTTTATGATCTGATAGAAAATGATGAATTAATTATTGAAGAAAAGATTAATATTACAAGGAATGTTCTCCATGCACGTGACATTCAAAATAAATCTCGTACTGATTTCATTCAACGTTATATTCAACCTGAAGAACAAGAATATTTTCGTCTGTTTGCTGGATTACCTGGCACTCAATTTATGAGGATATGAGCCAAGGACGTTCAGAATATTGGCGAGTTGTATTTCGAAAGAAGACAACAACAAATATGCCTGTCAGCCGAAATCAAATTTTAACTTAACAGTACAAACACTTTTTCTTTTTTTCAACTAACTATATTTTTTATTTTTATCCTTACTTACTAATATCATATTATTCTACCTCATATTAATATCTCATTTCTACTTGTTAACTAATAAATTATCTTTATAATCAAGAATCTTGACGGTGTGTGTGTGGTTTCAGGTGACATTATGCCTATTATTCATTTTATTCAGCTCCGCTCACACCCTGTTTAGTAGTACTTTTTCATATGATGATTGACTGATGCCATCTCATTGATAGTATCAATATATAATCGCTATTAACTTTAAAACATTCAGCTAATGCGCTTTGAATTCAGATCGATAAACTCTAGGACGACATTTCTGTAGCATATTGTGCTGGAAGGAACTAATATAGATCTTATATTTATTAATCATAGTGAAAGTAAACAATAGAGATTCAAAATAATATTCAAAAACTACTGTCTTACATTTCACAGCAAATTAAAAGTATACCACATATATTGTTGTTGAACTCTTTTGTTGTTCTTATCTGTATTCATCTATCTCCTATATGAATGTTTTTAATGGAACTACTCGAATGAATAAAAAAAAGTTCAAGAATACTTACTTAACACTTGAAAAAAGAGTTGATTCTTGATATTTCTCGTACTTATCATATTCATTCAAACTTAATGGTTTAAAGTATAATTAAGAAAAGAACAATGATAGAACTGTTTTATAAATCGATTTTATTTTTTAAAAAAAAAACGTCAATAAAATTATATAAGCGCAGTAGTATCAAATGAACTAAAACTATCCGGTAATTGATGATTTCGAAATAGTTCTTGTTTAATTTTAACTCCTGTTATACTATGTCCTGAATTAGCAGCAATTGATTTTGTTTTTGATTGTATGGATATATTTTCTGGTTCTAAATGTCGTAATAATTGTTCATAATAAAGTGTACCCATAGTTTCAATACTACTACGTTCATCGGGCTAGAAAATAAAATTTTTAATTAAATGATATTCAAATTCAATGAAATAAATCTTACTGTTTGTATAAGACGTGTTACTAAAACTCGTGAACCATCAGGCATTTTTTTTGAATAATTCGATTGTTGTGCTAAACGTTCTTTTCGTGAAACAGATTGTTCAACAATTAACATTATTTTAGCCCATTGTCGTAACCATTCTTTTTTACGTTCATTAACGGTAGCATATGTATTACCCATCACTAAAAAGTAAACAATAAATTGTAGAAAAACAAAATTTTCTTTTTAAACATACTAGCAATAAGCATATTAACAAGAAGGACTGCTGCCATAATAATATAAGTAATAAACCAAATCTAAAAATATAG